AACCAATTGGAAGTATTGCTCCAATTTCTGAAATTCAGGTCTGCCACCACTAAGTTTACTTTTCAAATGAGTTGATAGGAGGCTTGTGACACTTCTATTTAGGCTCGTTGGGTAACCCAGGTATTCGTTGGGAATGCCAAGTTACCATCAGAAAAAGAAATGTGGAAGGATATCGATCTGAAAAGGCGAGTCATGAAAAAAAGGTATTTCGCAAGCGAAAAGCATACAATGCAGGTAAATGGATAAATATTGGAATTGAGTTGAACCTCACACGTTTATTCCTTAATTCAGGTTGATTTTGTGAAATATATGGATGAAATTGCTACAATGGTAGGCTGCAAGCCAAACCTTTGGAAGGTACTGTATTTGTTTAGAAAAATTGAAAAAGCCCTCAGGATGTAGTTTATTTCCTGGCTAGGCTTGTCATGAATATTTATCAGAATTCCCAGAGAAGAGAATGAAAGATTTTTATTTTCCAAAAAATTTCGAACATCAGAAGAATATTCGAAAAAACGCACAGCAATTCCAAAATGGTTCTTCATTACTTTTCATTCTTATCATCGTACAAAATCCAAAAGTGGGTCATAAGCATAGTGTTCCTGTATTTGCAATACGGCCCAATTCTTGTCGTCACCTTTTTGCCCTATGACACGTCCACTTCTGGGCGTGGTTGGCGGTGACGGCGTCCTAGCCGAACATGATTCCCGCTGCACCATTTCTAGGGGTTTTTCGGCTCGGCAGGAAGACTAATCGTCCTCTCTGTTGGTAGAGGTTTATTTCAGTCGTAATGTAATACTATAAAGTTTATGGAAGTCGTAAATTACCTATAGCTGTAATAAGGAGACGGTATCCCCCCCTCCCACCAATGCTACAGCAGTTTGGAGTAGGATGCTCAGCCGTAATTGACTATGAAGAGGAAATTCGGCAAAAATCTGAAGTATTTCATTTCATTTACATTTCCAGGTTTTGTTCTCCAGCCCGTCATTCGCCTTACGCCTTTTCAAAGGTGCCAACGTCCCATATGTCTATCGTCTTGTGGGACCAAATAAATGGGATGGAGCTTACGATGCTGTTTGTACGGTACCACAGCGAGTGAAGAAACCACTCAAAACACGTCAATGCCGAATGCAAAAACACAAACAACGTGGAGTAACGGTAATTCAATCTAATCCTCTCTGAAATTCTTAGGGTGTTACTTCTTTGTTTATCGAAAGACTTGGCTAAAAGATTGAATAAAAGTCTAAACGTCAACAGGTAACAATTATCAACGAATATCACTAATTATCATCATAATTAACATCACATTCTAGGGAACGAATGAGTAGGCATTTAATCACCTCATTTCATCGCCTCTATCGGTCATCCCTTCCTAGCTGTTTCGTACTGATGTGGCCACAAAATCGAACCTATTTTACTTGCCTACTACCTGATCACTCGTCGTTGCCTCCGGTGGGGTTGAACTGATTCGTCCGGACTCCCACCATCTACCAATGCTGTAATGTATTTTGTGCATGGTTATTCCTCCCAATTCATTAATAACAAGTACTTGGGCATAAATGGTGTTTTCAGATATTTTTTGATAAGTCGTTCGATTTTTTTTCTTTTTGTTTTTTTGGATCTGGTTAAATAAGTTCTCATTTCCACTTTTCTTTTCGTTTTTACATTGTTTTTTTCGTTGACACCACACGTCGTTGTTTTTTACCAAATTCATTGTGATATATACTCAGAGCATAAAGAATAAACAAATAAACAGATAAGCATGTCAAATAAACAAGCGTGTCACCTCAGTACAGGTATGAGCCTGTCAGATTACTCAAATTGAATCTTTCTTAGGCCGGTAAGGCCTGTTCAAAGTCTTACCAGCCTAAGAAAAGTTCGATTTTAAATTTCGAAGTTATATAGATTCAGATTCAATTTTGGATGAAACAAAAACACTTAAAGAGCCTTCCATTAGTTGTCGGCAATGAGGCAAGGCTCTTTCCGCGGTGCGCGATTCCGTCGGAATGCAAAGAGCTCACTTCTTGGAAAACTAGCAAGACCGTGTTGCTATGTAGGAACGGAGATCCAGACGACATTGGCAATTCCCTCCCAATTCACCTGCTGTCTGTAATCTATAAACTCTTCACACGGGTCATTCTTAACAGGATTGTCAGAATATTAGATGAAGGACAG